TCCATAATACAATGCACATACCTGTAGCATTCTCCATAATGAAATGCACATGCCTATAGCACATACAAGATTGTATAGCAAGATGAAAAAAATAAAAAAAATTGCATATACACTAATACACACACTAAATGAATCTTTAATACAAAGACTAATTGCCCTGCAGTTTAGATATAAATGCATACATAGGGAATATCTGTAAATTTCTAAACTATTGTGTATATTACTTTAAAACCATACAGAGCACTGGGAACAGAGGTGCTGTTGACCTCCCAAACACTGGTGTGAAGACACACGCTCAAAGACTCTTTGTGGTGAGTACACCCACGGCTCTCCAAAGAAACCCAGATCCAAATCTCTTCTGAATATATCTTGCATGAGAACATGGACTTTGCAGAAGTCACTCAAGGTATGGACCTTGAACTGGAGATAGTACTATGGGTTTTCCTTGTTTTCTTAGTTTAATCACATGAGTTCTTAAAATCAGGACTATTTTCCAGCTGGACTAATGCATAGTAATAAGAAAGGCTGAGCTAGATGGACTCCTGAGAATAATCTACACTGCTGCTAATGTGAATGTGTAGGAAAGTACCACAAAGCAAAGGAAGGCAGGCAGCCTCTAGACAATAGGAAGGGCTTAGAGAGACATGTCTTCTCTAGAACCTTCAAGAGGAATGCAGCCATATTAACAAGTGCTTGCCCCATGGACACCTCTGACCTCCGAACTGATAGAAATCTGTGTTGTTTAAGCCACTACATTTGAGCTGATTTGTTATGGCAGCAATTGGGCACTAATACCCTCTCTCCGCCAAAGTCATTTTGAATATTGGAGAATGAAGAAAGTGCTGAATACTGCACCAAACAGACTCAAGTTCAAATTATTAAAAAACCTTTGTTCAATCTCCCCTAATATTGTATCAGTAGAGGACCAATGTCACAAAGTGTGGCATGATATGCTCACTAAATTTTGTGTAAAATTGGAAACAGAAAAGGATAAGACCTTTGGTAAAGAAGTGATGAAATTTTTCAGATGTGATCATAGCACAATATCTGAACATTGTCTGGAGTGCCACTAAATATTAAAAATAAAAGGTAAAAGAGTTTATATTGGAATAAGTTACATTTGCCTCAAATCTAAGGCACTTAGGGAATTTTAAAAATTCATTCTTCAACATTTGAACTTCAGAAAGTAAAGTTTCTCAGAATGACAGTATCATGCCGAAAATATTAATGTGCCAGAATGAAATAGTGTCTGTAGGAGGTGATAAAGGTATGAGTTATACCAAATTGTACTTTTTCATGGGTGTTACCATACTTCTTATGGATAGATACAGCTCATGGGCGTAAGAACACCTGCCCAAGCCCTTCAGAAAATCAAAGTCATATGCACAAACATAGCTCTAAGAAATTAAAGGACCATTTGTGGCCAAATGAAAATATGCAGTGTTATAAATACAGCTCCTAAAGATATGGAATATCTCTTATTATAGCAGAATATATTTTTTTCTTGTTGTTTTGCTAGTCCTAAAAAGAATCATTCAGCTGTTTACATTACAGGTAGCAACTTCTATCCTGCTCAGTAATGGTATGTGTCAAATAAACTCAGTGTTGTGCTATACATTACCACCCTCATAGACTCCAGCCATTAATTGATTTGGGCCCATTGGTCATCACAGTGAATGTGAGGAATCTGTTCTTCATGAAATAAAATGTTCACTAGCATATCCTATTGACATGGGCAAGATTTAAAGGATCTGCATTATTATTATTTGTTCCTGCACATGTGTATGGGTTTTCCTGAATTTCTTTATTAGGGGTAAGAAAAGAGTCATTTTATGAACGTAAAGAAAATACCCATAGATGCCATCTGTGACAAAATTGTTCAAATGACTGAAAAGACTATAGCATCAGGAAAATGTGAAATTCCGTGCCCATCATTGGGCTTTACCCATTCGGGGCCGTAGCACTAAGGAGGGAGATGCGCTTCCTTTGCACGCCTCCACCTACAGACAGCAGAGACGGCACTGCCAACAGAACCATCACTCCGCTGGCACCTTGGTAGGAGTGTGCTCAGTTCATCTCCGCAACATAGAGTCATCCTCTCAAAAAGTAATTCACTTCTTTAAAAACTGGATAGAAAATAAATATGGTGCAGTAAAATTGTTGAGGAGAGGAATCTATCTGGACATTTCACAAAACATTTCATTATGCTGACAATTCCCAGAAGTGCTCTCGAGAGCGCTTTAAGCTGAGGATTACTGCGCGGAGCTGATGGACTTTTTTTTGTAGCCCCTTTAAAAGGCAGTGAACCGTTTTTCTATTTTATTTAAATAATGCCCCTTAAAATGGATTTTTAGAGGTATAATAACTCCTTAAGAGTCAGTTATGCTAAACAGTTTCTCTTGATAGAAATGTTGTAAAACTCGTTAACTGCACAGTCTCAGATGCTGCTTGGTGAACACTAACTGACATGTGAATGACCAGAGTTTGTAAAATAAATTGCAATAGTTGTTGTATCACACAGCCAGCACTGCACAGGCTGGAGGCCACAGGGGACTCCGACCTGACAGAAAATTACTTCAAGATGAATGAAAAGTGCTTGTTTCTCTTTATTAGTTTTTAGAGAACAATGAAAATGTTGAATTGTTTACAGAGGGCTGATTAAATGTGGTCAGCAGGGCCATGTTCCTGCTGCTAAGTGTTGGCCTCCCCCTCCAGCCAGCCCCCAGCCTCCACGCTCACGCACCATGCCATGCTCAGCCCCAGTCCTGGCCTCACCATTTGCTCCCTGCCACATGCATCTTCTTATAGGCTATTATGGCTGCACATCTGTGTGTGAAATGTGCTCATTCTGACATTCCATTGCTACTCAGCACTGCAGAGGCCTTTGTTGAGTAAAACACTGTTGTCAAGCCTAACAAGCAGGTCATGCAATTTGCTGGACGCTGTGGCAAAGAATAGCCTAGGATGAATTACTGCAGCTCAAACAATGCTCATTCCCATATTGGAATACATATGTATTTCTTTTGTTGTATTGCACTATAGAAAGTCATGAAATTTTGCTTTTTCAGGCTTCAATTTTTAAAAGAACAAAGTTGAAACTAGGTATGGTCAGACTACCACAAAATATCTTTTTGTTGTATTTACTTAGGATAACTAATGTCTTATGACTAACGGAAAAATGCATGAAGTGCTTTAATTGGTCATTTGGGGCTTATATTCCATTTGTATTGAGCAGAAAAGTACAGTAAGAGGACAAGTATTAACCACTATCATATCTGTCTGCTTGTTGTACGTAAAGAGATTGTCAGACCAGGGCATTTAGGAGGATGTTGTGGTGAAGGATTCTCACTATGTACTTCCACAAAGTGAACAGCCCTTGAGGGAAAGAATTATGAGAATTCATTAACAAGCATAAGCCACACACAGAGGAAGTCTTTTTACCAGACCAGCTAAGTGAATCAGATTCAGAGATGTTATGGTAAGTAAGGAGAAGGAACTATTTCGGCTTCACAGGCTTCAGGGGCTTATCACCATCTTAGCACCTAGTGCCTCCCTCCCTCTCAAACATGCGCACAGAAACTGGCAACAGTGGGCAGTTCCCATGCTGTTTGGGACATTGTGATGGGATCCACAGTGCACGCTCTTGATGTGCACGCGGAATTCTCTTCCCTTTCTGTGCAGAACGTGTATCCTGAGCCTATTATGTGTATAAACAATGGCATGTGTAATTACCTTTCTAGGGTGGTAATTATTCCACAGAATCAACAACCAGAGTTAAAGCATGTTCCCCCAGAAGACATTTGGGGATCAATTCTGGGTCAATTACATCAGGCTTTGATTTATCACATGGTGTCAGACTGTTTAAAAAAAAGAAAGTTTAAAAAAATGCTTTATGAGGTAAAGGCTAAAGGTTTAACTCAAACTGGTTCATTTCCAACTTTGTTTTCTCCCAATTGCTCTGTACTTCCCCCATCCTCAAAACAACAGTGATTTCCTGGGTTTTTCTCTGTTAGAGAGTGTGTTGTTCAGAAATATTAACCGCAATGAGTCTGGACTTCATCCAGATTTGATTTGACTCTCTACACACTCTTCATATACATATACACAAGGCATTAGCACTTTTTTTCTGAGATACAGCTGAAGAACAGAGGGTGGAGGGGTAAGAGATCAAGCTTCAGAGTACAGCTCTGGATATGGATCCCTATGACCTAAGCATGTTACGTTCTTCTGCAGTGGATGATGTCTGCTGCCCATGGATGGTATGAGAACTGAGAGGATTCACGTAAAGCACTTGTTCCCCATGAGTTCCTAATGAATGATGTGATTACTGTTCTACTAATAGACCAGTCAAAGAATGAGAAAGGGAGCTTCCCCTCCAAAGAGTGGTGAGGGCCAGGGCCAGAAGAGAGTGAACATTCGTACAAACAGCCAGGCTGAACTGTGACCCCAAAACACTCTTGGTGAGGTCCAGGGGACTAGACTGTACAAAAAAATATTCCCTTTTTTTGGCTTTTTCTCAGGGTATTGACCATAAAGTACAAACCAATAAAGGTGCTATTATGGGAGGGGGCCCTCTCCTTGTCTTTAATACATTCTTAAAAGAGCCATAGTGGAAAAGGCCACTTTACAGTCCATGATCATACATGTTTACTGAATACAGATGTAGTTTTCACAGAGCTCTGTGCTAAGTACAAATTTGTAATGCAAAGATGAACTCTCTAAGGCGTCTCCCGCAGCAGGTAACAAGCATGTAGTTTGGCATAACACGAGGAGTTAATAACTAAGAATTACTCATGACCAGGACTTTGGCAGTGAGACAATCCATCCTATTAAGGATCAGTCTTAGCACTGAAGTTACTAGGTAAATTAGAGCTGTTCCTTACTGAGGAATAAAGTAAAAATGTTTTTAAATTAAAAGAAAAGAAAGGGTATGAGAATTTCCGTCAAGTTTCTTAGTAAGCAATGAAGTGCCACACTCCAACACCACAAGAAACTCATCATATGGGGGAGCACTGTTTATTTAACAAGGCGCAGGCAACACTATTCAGTTCTCAAACAGCACACAGTGGTATTGACAATGGTATTGGCAGCTTAATTAAGAAGTCTGTTGATGATGTTTTAAAAAGAGTTGGCACATTTTCAATTACATGGACACTACTCACGACAAAGATGCTGTTGTTGGCTCATCAGTATTGAAATGGGTCACAGACATGACACTAAGATGTCCAGTGTCTCTAGTGATATCAGTGTCTTAACACCGGAAAAGTAACGACTCATTCTCAAGTCAGACATAAACTTTTAGGAAAACTGCATAGTGATTCAAGCTATGGGAGTCAAGAGATAAATACTTTTGAAAATTGTTCAGCCAGATTTTCAAGATTCTTTGCCAGAGGTTTTGTTGCTCTCTGTCCAGTCTTGGACCTGAGAGTCGAAACCCCCCAGTTTTATCTAGATCTCCCTCTTCTCCTCACTGGGATCTCACTCAGAATGGTGGTCTTGAGGACACAGAAGGTAAATGCCTGTAGTGATAACAGGTGTAACTCACCACCCCACACCCTGAGAACTGTATAAGCAATATGTGCTTTCCAGCAGACAGCTTACACCTAGAGGAAAAGGTAGGATTGAATTCAAATTAACTCAAAGCATAGTCTCTAGAGTTTACCAAATATTTATGGAAAAAATAAAGTAGACTTTATTTCAGCACTGTAAAATAATACAATAAAAGAATAAAGGATTAAAATGTCTTGAATTTCCCAGATTGTTTTGCTGTTGTTGTGCTATGTTCTATTTTGTTTCTCATTAATGAAGCTTAAAATATTTACAGAATATGTTTTCCCATTCATTTGTTTCTTGGATTAGAGAAAATTTTAATTACAAGCAGAAGAAAGAAATATGCATCCTGAGACTAATTGTAGCTTCACTAAAGGCAAGCCCTGTGCCTTATTTGTCTTCCCATTTCCTCTCCCATCTTTTTCACAGTGAGTCATACATAGTAAGCATTCAATTAACTTGAAAGGTAATGTATGTCTCAGTCCACATCCATTTGGAGGGGTTGTATTGATTAAGGAGCAGCTGAGACAGGTTCAACTACTGTTGAGGCAAGTGAGGCACACTGTTCGGGAGACTTCCTTTACAAAGCCTTGTTAATGAACGGCTGACCACTGGCATTCTCAACGTCTTGATTTGCTTCCATTTTTGCCAAAGGTAACACGATGAGCCTCCAGTGGTTCTATTTCCAACAAGAATGGTGTGAAAGGCGGTTTGAAGCCTGTGTTCTGTGACTGTCTGACCCAGTCCAGGAGGCAGTACTCCTGTGAACAAAATAGGAACCAATTATTTATCCATTTCTTGCTGAGAAGAACATTCAGAAGTACCAAAGTTGGCCTTTTGCTGATCATTAAAATGAATGTAGCTCAACATTTCAAAACATAATGAGAATCATCCATGGTGGTAATACTGTTTAAATCTTTCCTTTCTTACTTTAAACAATAATTTTGAATTCCATCCCAAACACAGGTGCAGATCCAAGCTTAATAAAATCAGAAATCCCACACCCTAAACATCCCCTAACTAATAAGCATTCCATATTGTATATTCCACCTTGAGGTCTTATGCCCTAATCTTTCGTGAAGTGTAAAGAAGGCCCTACTGGCAGCCCGCCATATTGCCATGTAGATGACTGAGACTCACAGCTGCTACCAGTAGAGAAGCCAGTGGTAAAGCCACCACCAGGCAGGAGCACATGCTCAACCAAGTTCTAACCCGTCAGGCAGCAAGAGGCCTAGTCTTGTTCAGGTCTAGTCTGAACACTTGAAGCATGTCAGTTGTCAGCTGCAGCAAGAAAGGTCTCATGAAAGCAGCGCAGCAGAAGTCAGTAGGATCCCACGAGGGTTTTCAATCATGCCTGTACACACACACACACACACACACACACACACACACACACACACACACACCAAAAGCAGCGTCCTGGACTAGGAAAGACAGATACTTTTTCTCTCTTTTCTTTTATTGAAAGTAGATTTTTTTTTCCTACAGTATATTCTGATTATAGTCTTCCCTCCCCCAACTCCTCCCAGATCCTGTACACACCTCCCCTCCCACCCAAATCGACATCTTTTTTCTCTCTCTTCTTAGAAAACAAACAGATATTCAAAAAGTAAAATGAAAAAGGATAAAAAAAAAACTGGAATGGGGCAGAGCAAACAAACAAACAGGAAAAAGAACCAAAGAAAAAGTACAAGAAACATATAGACTCAGAGATACATATGTTCCCACACACATAAATCCCAGGAAAACAGGAAACTCACATATAGACTCAGATGCACATGTTCCCACACACATAAATCCCAGAAAAACAGGAAACTCACATATAGACTCAGAGATGCACATGTTCCCACACACATAAATCCCAGAAAAACAGGAAATTCACATATAGACTCAGAGATGCACATGTTCCCACACACATAAATCCCAGAAAAACAGGAAACTCACATATAGACTCAGATGCACATGTTCCCACACACATAAATCCCAGGAAAACAGGAAACTCACATATAGACTCAGATGCACATGTTCCCACACACATAAATCCCAGGAAAACAGGAAACTCACATATAGACTCAGATGCACATGTTCCCACACACATAAATCCCAGGAAAACAGGAAACTCACATATAGACTCAGATGCACATGTTCCCACACACATAAATCCCAGGAAAACAGGAAACTCACATATAGACTCAGATGCACATGTTCCCACACACATAAATCCCAGGAAAACAGGAAACTCACATATAGACTCAGATGCACATGTTCCCATACACATAAATCCCAGGAAAACTGGAAACTCACATATAGACTCAGAGATGCACATGTTCCCACACACATAAATCCCAGAAAAACAGGAAACTCACATATAGACTCAGATGCACATGTTCCCACACACATAAATCCCAGGAAAACAGGAAACTCACATATAGACTCAGATGCACATGTTCCCACACACATAAATCCCAGGAAAACAGGAAACTCACATATAGACTCAGATGCACATGTTCCCACACACATAAATCCCAGAAAAACAGGAAACTCACATATAGACTCAGAGATGCACATGTTCCCACACACATAAATCCCAGGAAAACAGGAAACTCACATATAGACTCAGAGATGCACATGTTCCCACACACATAAATCCCAGGAAAACAGGAAACTCACATATAGACTCAGATGCACATGTTCCCACACACATAAATCCCAGGAAAACAGGAAACTCACATATAGACTCAGATGCACATGTTCCCACACACATAAATCCCAGGAAAACAGGAAACTCACATATAGACTCAGATGCACATGTTCCCACACACATAAATCCCAGGAAAACAGGAAACTCACATATAGACTCAGATGCACATGTTCCCATACACATAAATCCCAGGAAAACTGGAAACTCACATATAGACTCAGAGATGCACATGTTCCCACACACATAAATCCCAGAAAAACAGGAAACTCACATATAGACTCAGATGCACATGTTCCCACACACATAAATCCCAGGAAAACAGGAAACTCACATATAGACTCAGATGCACATGTTCCCACACACATAAATCCCAGGAAAACAGGAAACTCACATATAGACTCAGATGCACATGTTCCCACACACATAAATCCCAGAAAAACAGGAAACTCACATATAGACTCAGAGATGCACATGTTCCCACACACATAAATCCCAGGAAAACAGGAAACTCACATATAGACTCAGAGATGCACATGTTCCCACACACATAAATCCCAGAAAAACAGGAAACTCACATATAGACTCAGATGCACATGTTCCCACACACATAAATCCCAGGAAAACAGGAAACTCACATATAGACTCAGATGCACATGTTCCCACACACATAAATCCCAGGAAAACAGGAAACTCACATATAGACTCAGATGCACATGTTCCCACACACATAAATCCCAGGAAAACAGGAAACTCACATATAGACTCAGAGATGCACATGTTCCCACACACATAAATCCCAGGAAAACAGGAAACTCACATATAGACTCAGAGATGCACATGTTCCCACACACATAAATCCCAGAAAAACAGGAAACTCACATATAGACTCAGATGCACATGTTCCCACACACATAAATCCCAGAAAACCTGGAAATTCACATATAGACTCAGAGATACATATGTTCCCACACACATAAATCCCAGAAAAACTGGAAGGTCTAACATTTAAAAAAAGATACTCTTTACAGCAACATTTCTAGGTATCCCCATGTTCTCTGAAATGTCCCTCTTAGATAAGAGTCCAAGAAGCCACAAGTAAGCTTAGCTTTAACAAGATTTTATTGACTAATTTACCTTATTTGGATCTTTTAAATAGACCAGAGAACTTACGTTTAAGAAAACATCTAAACTCTATCAAAACTAAGAATTCTAAACAAGAAAGTTCTGGATCAGAATTCTTCATGATTCATATATCAAGCATGTGCTCCCTAGCTCTTCAGCTCAAGAGTAAAAGTGCCATGTGACTTGAGAATTCAAAAATCTACCTGGAATCATTTTGGGTTCTATCATTTTGTCTTATCATTTTGTTTTACCAAACTTATCACCAAAACCTACTCACTTCTTAACTGAAGCGACTTCTGTAGCAAGCCCCCTTTCTCCTACAGCTTCACAACACTTTCCTTCTTGGTCAGGCCCTGTCCTCGTAAGCCTGGCTTGTGACAACCTCCTGGCTTAGCCGAGGTGACCTTTGTTGTCATCCTCACTCCTGTGAGTGGCCCTGCCCCCACCGTGACTATCAGCTGAGTCCCTGGAGTATTCACTTAAGAGGCCCAGTACAGCCGGGCGGTGGTGGTGCACGCCTTTAATCCCAGCACTCGGGAGGCAGAGCCAGGCGGATCTCTGTGAGTTCGAGGCCAGCCTGGTCTACAGAGCGAGATCCAGGAAAGGCGCAAAGCTACACAGAGAAACCCTGTCTCGAAAAACCAAAAAAAAAAAAAAAAAAAAAAAAAAGAGGCCCAGTACTTCCGCAAACCTCCAAACCTTCACCAGCGAGAAGCAATCCCAGATCACGACATGCAGTGGAACTTACTATCTGGCCACAGAGTTATGGAATTGTTGTGAGTGTGCACTGCTTCACCATTCCTGTTTTCCTTCCACTGTTAGACATGTTGACCCAATGGTCAAAACTGGCTTTCGTCCTCACTAGCTTTCCTCTTTCTAACAATGTGACTGGGGTCCTGACAGTCTTCTCTAGGTTCTGTTCTATGACCTGAACTATGGATGGGATTCAGCTGTGATAAGGTAGCTCGCTACAATGATGTCGCCACTTCTGACTCTGTGTCTCCTGCTACCTACAGCCTATGGGGCCCACCTCCTGATAAGTTGAACCTCCTCAGAAACCAATCTCAGAGTGAATTCTAGAATTGTCACATTCTCTTGGGCACTGAGGTTTGGGCTTCCGCCAGGCCTAGTGAGGCTAGGCTCCCATGCCATGACCCACCTAACTTTGGCTTCATCCCACACATGAAAACCTATGCTCAGTCTGGATGAATTATACTGTTGTTATAATATGAATATATAGATACATTATTCCTCACTTGCTGTTTTATTCTGACTTCACTCCATAGAACGGTAACAAAGCTATCGTTGACTTTATTTTCATAATGAGTACTCTGCACTGCCAGCTCGGTTGGTAAAGCACTTTCCTCACCAGCATAAGGACCTCTCCGTGGGTCCCTAGAACCCACACAGACCTCCAGCCACAGTCGTGCACACCCGCAATCCCAGAGACGGAGGCGTTCACGATAGAGCTGCCCTGGCCGACTTGGTGAAGCTCCAAGGCAAGGACAGACCTTGTCTCAAACAAACGTGGTGGGAGAGCGTGGAGCTGCCCTCCAGCTTCGGCATGCACGTCAAGTGTGTGCACACCCACATATGTATACGCACACACAGGAACACACGTGGATTCCTGTGGTCTAACTCCTACCTGGGTCCTGAGATTAGTCACTTTCTTATTCTGTTTTACTACATTGACACAGGTCCACTGACCTTTATGGTTCACAGTCTCTTTTCTGAATTCTTTTACCCTTTGGCACTTCACTTATAACATAATCTAAAAAGCCCATTCGAAATGAGTCTAAACTAATCTATCCCTTATTTGGATCCCTCTGGAGTCTGCACCGTGCAGTTTAGACCCCATTTCTCACTGCCTAGTATACGCTAACTCCCTTGATAGATATTAGTTCCTAAGAACTGAGATAAAAGACACTTTGTGTACTT